TGGGCACCTCCCACCTGCTCAACATCGCCTGCCAAGTGGCGGATGGGATGAGGTACCTGGAGGAGAAGCACATTGTCCACCGGGATCTGGCAGCCAGAAACATCCTGGTGGGAGAGGAGCTCACCTGCAAGATTGCTGATTTTGGACTTGCCCGGCTCCTCAAGGTCAGTCAGTGGGATGCTGTGCTCCCTCCTGTCACCAACAGGCCACCAAGCTGACCCATCCATGGGACATCCCGTTCCGCCACCATCCCCTGACCCAGTTCAAAGCCGCAAAAGCAGAGGCTGTGTTCATTACACCATCCCTCGTGACCCGTCTCTGGTTGCTTTTCAGGATGACATTTATTCCACCAGCAGCAGCACTAAGATCCCGGTGAAATGGACAGCCCCGGAGGCAGCCAACTACCGCACCTACTCCCTCAAATCCGATGTCTGGTCCTATGGGATTCTGCTCTATGAAGTCTTCACGTATGGACAGATTCCGTATGAAGGTAGGGTTCCAGTGCCACTCCATCCACATGCTGGGCAGCTTGCCCATGGTCCCTGAAAGCCAACATGTCATGAGCTGCTCTATTGTCCTTTCCACAAGGGATGTGGAAGCAGCTCCTAGACCATAAGCAACTTCTTGTCCTCTTTGGGGATGGCTAAGATGGATTTTCAGTGCTTGCAGGAAGGAGGCATGGGCTGGATGATCTCCCATAGCCTCTCCTCTATCAGCCTCGTGGCAGAGACCACGTCACAGCAGCGCAAGCTGACACCTTGGCCCACTGTAGTTGTACCTTCAGAGCATCCTTTGGGGACCTCCGATTCAGAGGCATCTTCTCCTTTTCCTTGCAGGGATGACAAACCAAGAAACGGTGCGGCAAATCACCAGGGGCTACCGCCTGCCCCGGCCCAGCTCCTGCCCTCCCGAGATCTACAGCATCATGCTGGAATGCTGGAGCGGCAACACGGAGGAGCGGCCCACCTTCCTGGCCCTGCGGGAGAAGCTGGGCTTCATCTACAGACGGCTGCTCAGCTCCCTCTCCTGAGGGACCCTTTCCCACCATCCTTCCTGCACAAAGCTCCTCCAGGCCAGCTCTTGCCAAGAAGCTCCTTCCTTCTGGTTTGCCCTCAAACAGGGCTCCAAGGAAAGCATGTTCCACCCCCAGAACCGTGGTCTCTCTCGGTCAGGATGCAGGGAGGTGGCCAAGGAGAAAGGCAACGAGAGGTGGAGAACCCATTGCTAGTGCTTGGCTATGTAGCAGCCTGGAAAAGCCCCGTGGTAGTGAAGGCATCACCCAGAGTTTACATGGTCATTCAGGCAGTAGGGTGGGAGGTCCCTGCTGCTCCCCGTGCCAACGTGAAGGTTTGCAGTTTGTGTTCAGTTGTGGCTCTGCTTCACGTAGTGTGTTTGGTGTGTTCATCAATAAATGTGTGTGCATCACCCGCTCTGCCCTCACCGTGCTGCTCCTCTCCCTGCCCGCAAAGCAGTGGTTTGCCACCAGTCCCACTTCTGCGAGCACAGGTAGAACCACCCTTGTGTCTCTTTGGCTCATTCTGGAGTGCATTAAACCTCTGTGTGTGTCTGAACAAGGGACAGGCCAAGGGGAATGGCTTTAACCTGCCCGAAGGGAGATGGAGATGAGCTCTTAGGCAGAAGCTCTTCCCTGTGAGGGTGCTGAGGTGCTGGCACAGGGTGCCCAGAGAAGCTGTGGCTGCCCCATCCCTGGCAGTGCTCAGGGCCAGGTTGGACACAGGGGCTTGGAGCAAGCTGCTCCAGTGGAAGGGGTCCCTGCCCATGGCAGGGGTTGGAGCTGGAGGAGCTTTAAGGGCCCTTCCAACCCCTGTGATTCTATGAACCGTTGCTTCACCATGCTTTGCTCTTTACCACTCTTACAGTACAAAGCCAAGTGATGCTCGAGTGGCAGGGAACACGATGTGCTGGGGGTGAAAGGCAGCCTGGCACAGCTTGGATGCTGATTTCCTACTAACAAGCCTATTTGGCCTGAAGACCAAAGCCATGTCCAGAAGGTGATGGGCTTGCTGCAGCCATAAACGTATTAAATTTGCAGGTCTGGCTGCCACCAGATGGAGCTAAGAATTAAGCAGGAGGCGAAGGGGGAGTGTGGGGTGATGGGGTGGTCCATGGCTGGGGACCCTCAGCAGCTGCACCAGCCCCATCAGACGTGAGATCCCAAAGCATCTCGCTCTGCTGTAGCAATACCATGATGGGTGGTGTGGAGAGGGGACATGGTGCTGCCCACAGCAGTGTTTTCCTTCCTCCTCTGCTGCATTAAAAGCTGGTGTGCTGCTTGGGTTTGCCATCCAGCACGGTCTGCTGGGCTCTGGCATTCCTCTAAGCCATAAGTTGCTTACTAAAAGTAGATGGATTTGGGGTGGGGGCCCAGATTTTCTCATCTTCTCCCAGGATCCCAGCCTGGGGAGGACACTGCAGCTTCCCCCATAACCAGAGCTGATATGGGGAAATTCATCCCACAAAGGGAGAGCCCCAATTCCTTCCAAACCCCTCTGGAATGGGCGCTGCAAATGCTGTTGGTAGAGGCATTCGCCTGCTCTGGTTTCAGGCTGGCATTTGAAATCGGTGCCAGGCTAAGGCAATGCATTTGTGCTGCACAGTTTGTTTCTATTTATAAGGGCCCACGATGGCCTTTGAAAGGGTGAGGGGGAAGCAAAATGCTGGAGGGTGGGGGGAAAAAGGCCCCAAGCAGCAAAACCAGGCAATGAAAGGGAATATTTCTTGGAGGGGGCAGTGGGGTGGCACCAGGGGCTGAAAGCGAGCGGAATGCACCGGCTGCTTTAATCCCAAATATGTGAGTTACTCAACAGGGAAAACATGGGATCTCATGGAGCAGAGAGGGGGAAGTCGGTCCCTATGGGCTGGGGCTATGGGAGGCGGGTGCTTGCCCCTCCGGCAGCAAGGCTGATGGAAAGGGGGGATGCTTAGGGAGGGGTATGGTGAATAAAGCTGGTGGCATCACAGCCAAGAGCCGGAGCAGGTCCTCCAGGAAAGAGCCAGGGATGCAGGATTAGTGCCTTTGCCCTGCTATAGCCTTCCCAGGGTGCCTGAGGACAGTTTGCCTCTGATCACAAGACCGACAAGCAAACAGAGCACTATTGACTTTACCTTTGTGTGCCCACACTTTAATCTGCAGCCCGTGAGGCTGACGGCTTGCAGGGAATACATTTGTCTCTCTAAACCCTAGTGCTGCCGCTGGGAATCGGCAGCGGATGAGAGCCAACTGCTTCCCTGGGGGATCCTAGGGCTTTGGGACATGGACAAGGTGTTTGCTGGTACAGCCAATGCCCCCTCTTGTCTTACTCAGAAAGTGGGGTTTTTTGCTTGATTTTCATGTGTTTTGTGACATTTTAAAGGCTGCCATGTGCTTCCTGCAATATAGAACCATGCATACCCCAGCACCCACCACTACCAGATCCAACCATAGATCCAACCCATGTGTCTAAGGCTGCTGGCCCTGGGGACCCCCACAGAGCCATTCCCTTTGGATGCACAGTGGGAGCAGAGGTTCCAGTGCTGCCCTGGCTGCTCCTAAGGACAGGGGGGACACAGAGGACAAGGACAGCAACCTGGAGACACAGGGCAAAGCTAACACAACACTTTTCCTTACCAGAAGCAAGGAGCGAAGCTGGATGTGACCCCGGATGCCTCTGGAGCACGGGTGTAAAGTGGAGCAGCCACGTTTCCTGCAGCTGCCTGAGCACAGCCTTGCCCTTTGCCCCTGCCCACGCAGGTACAAAGTCAAAGTCATCACTTGGAGATCGTGGAATCCCAGCCTGGTTTGGGTTGAAGGGATCTTACAGCTCCTCCAGCTCCAACCCCTGCCACGGGCAGGGACCCCTTCCACTGGAGCAGCTTGCTCCAAGCCCCTGTGTCCAACCTGGCCTTGAACACTGCCAGGGATGGGGCAGCCACAGCTTCTCTGGGCACCCTGTGCCAGCGCCTCAGCACCCTCACAGGGAAGAGCTTCTGCCTCAGAGCTCATCTCAGTCTCCCCTCTGGCAGGTTAAAGCCATTCCCCTTGGCCTGTCCCTACATCCCTTGTCCCAAGCCCCTCTCCAGCTTTCCTGCAGCCCCTTTAGGCACTGGAGCTGCTCTAAGGTCTCCCCTTGAGGAGCCTTCTCTTGTCCAGGCTGACCCAGCCCAGCTCTCTCAGGCTGTAACCCATCAGGGCTGCAGCACCAGTGCACGCAGTCACCATCCCGTGTCTCAGGCTGGGGCTGAAAGCAGACCAGAGCAGGAGATCTGGCACCTTTAAATCAGCCCCTGCCAGGATTTTGTTTGCCTCGGGCAGGAATTCGGGACCTTGCCCCCTTCCAGGCAGGAACTTGCAGGCTCTTGTTTTCCCTGTGCTTTATCAAGCAGCCCTCCCCAGCTATCAGGCTAATCACAGCAGGGTCAAACAGGCAAGCTGACTAATTCCAGGCAAAAATCAACCAAAACACCACTGAGGGCGTTGCAGGACATTGCCCTGCTGGGCTCTGGCACTGCCATCCGCACCGTGAGCTCCAGGCTCCCATCAGAGCCATGAAACGAGCCTTAGCTCTCCCCTCATTATTGAGGGCTCCTTTGGTAGCCCCAGCTCCATTGTATCAGCTGGAGATGGGTCTTGCAATCTCCTTCCTGTGTTATTCTGCACCCAAATCCTTCCCACAGCCCTGACCAGACCCAGCTCTGTCCCAGACACTCATTCCAACCCCACAAGGCATCGCAGCAGGGCTGCAATGTGCTTGAGGAGCAAAACAAGGGCAGTGCCAGCAGGAACAGGCTGTGCAGCCAAGTAAGGAGGCAATGGTGGGGGGGAGGCATCCACAGCATCACCACAGGCCAGCCGGAGCTTGCTCGCATGCCAACACACACGCACCAGCGCATCACACGGGCACCACTGACATTACCAGACCCTGCTGCTGCGGGTCCAACCCCACCAGCATCGACAGCATCACCCTGCTCTCCCACCCCGGGTGAAGAACAACCCACACCGGTTTAAAAGGCTGCTCAAGTTTATTAGTTGCCATTGTGTGAGTGCAAGGTAAGTAAAACAAGTTACCACATCTGTGTGGGAAAGGGCATCATGTTGAGGAGTAGAAAGGCTGGTGTGGGAATCCTCGGGGGGTTGTTGCGTTTTACCATCACAAAGCAGCACCTTTGCCTTGCAGAAGCCATCCTACTCTATGGGGGGAAAGGGGATGTGCCCGCCGGTGTGGGGGCAGCACCCAGCACCGACCCGCTCACGCCGAGGGTCCGGAGCTGGGCTCACTCATGTGGCGCCTCCGTCCTGCTTCTGGGGCTGGCCCCAGGCCACAAGCCACCGGTCCTGTTGTCACCCGCAGTGCTCCCAGGCTGTAGGAGAGCACAAGAGAGGGTCAGGGCAATGTGTTTTGGTGCTCTGTGTTTGTCTGTGCAGCAAAGGAATAGGTGCTCTGGGCATGAAGAAAGCACCCATTGGGTCAGGATGCACCTTAGGGATGTTCCCAGCCGCCCTGGGTTGCTGCACTGTTGCTCCCATGTTATTCCATCCTAGGAAAGCACTCACCTCTCTGGGGACTCCGACACGGTTGTCATGGCTGGGTGAGTCACCTTCCCAAAGAAGAAGCTGGCCCACCAGTGACCGGGATCAGATTTGGGCAGACCTGGGGGACAGTGCAAGGGAAAGTCCAGGTCAGGGCAGCCCCACCACCTACCCCAGTGTCACCCTGAGGCCTCTTGCTGTGAGGCTCCCAATGTAAGAAGGATGGGGAGCTGTTGGAGTGAGTCCAGAGAAGGCCATAGAGATGCTCTGAGGATGCTCCAAGGAGACCTCAGAGCAGCTCCAGTGCCTGAAGGGGCTACAAGAAACCTGGAGAGGGGCTTCGGACAAGGGCCTGTAGGGAGAGGCCAAGGGGGAATGGCTTTAACCTGATGGAGCTTTAAGGTCCCTTCAACCCAAACCATCCTGGGATTCTGCCATCCCATAGGAGAGGCTCAGTGGGGTTTGCATGGGCCTGGGACGGTGGCACTCACCTGGGGGGTGGGGGATGACCTCCCCTGAGTACTCAGAGCTGCTGCAGGAGCTGTTGCTGGATGTGGAGCTCAGGCGCCCTGTGGAGCAAGCACAGCCATCAGAGCCAGCACCGACCCTCAGCCTTGACATGAGAAGCAAAGCACGGCCTTGGTGTGGCCATTCCTGTCTCATCACCGCCTGGATCCAGCACTCCTGCAGCTTTAGTGCAAGTGCTACGAGCCTTGATCCTTGAGGTCCCTTCCAACCCGGTATTCTGTGCTTCCATGAATCCTGTTACTATTTCAGCTCAAGGGGAATACTTTAATGCCCTCTGGTTTAGGCAATCCATTAAACCAGAAAGTCTCTCCCCTGGAGAGGTACCATTGCCCAGGCTGGTTTTGCAGCTCATTCCCATACACATTTGAAGACATCACCTCCCCTCACCTACAACCTTAATGACAAGGGAAGGAGACTGCAAGCCCCATCTCCAACTGGTACGATGGGGCAGGAGCCCCCGAAGGAGGGTCCCAGTACAGGGGGGTGGCTTCTGGTGCCCCCCTTCCGCAGCAAGGAGCGCTTATGGGATGTCACCTGAAGGCTTCATCCCTGCTGGAGCCACATCACCCTGAGCCTGCCCGAGCACCCAGCCCACGCCAGCACCCATCCTTACTTCTGTAGTAGTTGTGTGTGGCCATGAGCGAGCCGCTCGACGGGATGGATGCCATGGTCCCGGATCTTGGATCTTGTGCAGATCTAAAAGCAGGGAGCAAAGGGGCAGCCGTTACTACGGAGTTTAAACGGTACCAGTATGACTTCTTGGGATGCGCACAGCAGCACTGCACTGCAGGTGTTCTGTTTCCTCGCAGAAATCCACTTCTCTTCCTTGTATCAACAGTTGGGAGTTACGAAATCTCAGGCCGGGATTGCGTAAGGAGCAAGGGAGTGTTTAGCCCGGGGCACATCGTGAGGGTTCTCATGTGAGCGATTCCAGCCCCAGCCTGTCCCCAGCAGCACCTCACCACCCCGAACTGGGGCAAACCCGCCTGTCCTGCACCACCAAGCACAACGCAGGCCTCCTCCAGCAAGGGAAAGAACATTCTCTCCCTGGCCTAGTTCCGAGGTGGGGAAGTGCTTTCCCCCTCCTGGTACAAAGCACCCTCCTGCCAAGATGCTGACCCTTCCCATGCCCCATGAGCTGGTTCATTCCTCTCCAAACAAGCTCCAAGGCTCAGCCAGCCAAAGGGAGCATCTGCCAGGAGAAGTCCTGGACCTACAGGACACGGAGCCCCATCGCCATCCGGACACACCGACATGGGCTCTGATCCGGATGCGGGGGGCACCCAGCACCCTCACCAACATCAGCTCCTCCCCGGCTCCTGCTAAGGCTTCCCCTGCTCTCATGATGCACCCACTTATTAGGTATCCTACTACAGAATCATCTCCACGCATCCGCGTCTCCATTAATACAGTGATCCTTAGTGGGGAAACTGAGGCACGGAGCCATCTCCCATAAATTTCACCCCACAACGACTCGGTACATCCTTGCAGTTGATCCCTCCCAAACTTCCCACCCCAAAATTGCTTCAGGGCGCCCCGTCCCGTCCCCCACTGAGGTTACAGTACCGATCGCAGCGTACCTGGGCTGGGGCGGCGGCGGGGTCCGGCGGGCGGGCACTAGGGCCGCGGGGGCCGCTTGGCAGCGGCGGCTGCGTCCGCTCCGCACCGCACGGCCTGAGCCGCGGCGCTGCAGGCCCCGCCCCCTGAACAATCCTTATATGGCTTCTGGCCACGCCCCCTAGGCGCGCTCCACCAATCGGGACGTGGAGGCGGGGCCGGGCGCGCTCTTTTCCCGCGGGAAACGGGATTTGCGCGGCAGCGTGTGGGTAGCGCCGAGCACCGGAGGGGAGGACGCGGTGGTACTGGGGGCGGGATGCGGGATGCGGGATGCGGGATGCGGGATGCGGGATGCGGGATGCGGGATGCGGGATGCGGGATGCGGGATGCGGGATGCGGGATGCGGGATCCCCTGTCCTGCCACGGACACCCTCCATGATACTTGGGTAAGAGCTGATTCGAGCACCTTTAAAATTAGGGTAAAAGGGAATAAATAAATAAATACCGATGTATTTGTAGGGGGTCTGGGCTGTAGCGATCTGGGAGAAAATACTTTACTTTAGAGGGGAAAAGCCTGTAGCAAGGCTACAGGATGCGGGGTTACCTCAACAAGGGCATCACCAACAGAGAAAGAGATGTCATCATCCCTCTCTATTCAGTGCTTCTCCAGCCATCCCTGGAATACTGGGTTCGGTTTTGGTCCCTGTTCCACAGAAAAGATGTGGATAGGATGGAGAGGGTCTACAGAAGGACCACAAGGGTGATGCAAGGACTGAGCAGCTGTGTGAGGAAAGGCTGAGCCTGGTTTTCCCAAGACAAAGCTTATCCTGGATGTGTTGAAGAAAGGAAAATGCATTTTAGCTGTATTGATCAGGAATCAGTAGTTTGAAAAGCCAGCAGGTGACAAGGTTTGGATAGATTTTCTTTTTGATTTTCCTCTATTTAGAGCCTCTGAGTTGTCTGTAACTCTCCTTAATTTACTGTTGAGTTTCTGGTTTCTGCCTTTTCCTTTTTGTTTTAAATCCAGTTCTCTGGGCTCCATATCACAGCTGGCACCTGGCTTTTGTTTCCTGCTGGTTGCATGTGATGTGGGAAATAACCTTTTGTGTTAATGTATTTGGCAGAAACATCTGGAAGCCTTCAAAGGCACAGAGCTGAACAACCTGCAGCCTCTGGACTCCACCAGCCCTCACAGGACATCACAGATTGGTGTTAGTGAATCTTGGGGATGCTGGGGCACCCCAATGCCCAGCCAACAAGGCTTAATGCTGCCACAGGATTCCATGTGGGGATGTGACATCCCAGTGGCTTCAGGAATTGGCTCAGTGGTGAGAAAGTTGCCCAACAGCCCCACTTGAGTTCCCCATAGTGCTGCAGAGCCTGGTCCTGCACCACTGGGGGGGTTCCTGAATTCCCGCTGTGTGGAGGAGCTCTCTGTGCAGAGGAAGGAGCAGGCACAACCTGTGCTCAGCCTTCCTGCTCCTCCTGGGCTGCGTGCTCCTGGCTGTTCCTGTGTTGCTCAGGGCTAGGTTTGGGATGTGGAAGCATCCATCCAGTGCAGGCAGCTGCTGCCACCTATGGATGAAGAATAGCCCAGATGTTCACCCTAGGTCCTTCATTAGGACCATCTCCTCCTCCTTGCCCAGTGCCTTTGCAGCCTCAGAGGACACAGCAAGAGCAACTGTGAAACCAAACCCATGGTTGTGTTGTGACCCAACACAGGTACCTGAGCATCTTCCATTGTCTAGTCATGTTTAAACAGGAAAAGGGGATGTCCTGGAAATGCAAGGGGAGGCTTTCCTTAAGCACAATGCTTGAGGAGCATATTTTACCTCCCTGCCTGGGGTATATGCAGTGAAGTGACCCGAATGCCACCTTGGTAGGAGAATAAACCAAAGTCAGCTAAGCCTTAGCAACGTCCTCTGCTCCTATGTGGTATTTTAATAAAGGATGGTGAGTTATTAAAGCCACTGAGTTACCACGAGAAGAGGAATTTCATCCCATGTCTGGTTGTTATTAAGTCATCTAAAAGGAGAAGCTGTCCTGCTCTGCTCCCAGGGGAATGTGGGTACCGGGAGCTGCCTTTGAACCCATGGCACCAAAGGTTGAGCTGAGGTTTAGGGGTTTACAGACACCAGGGATGGGTTGTGGCTGTTCTTTAGAAGAGAGGTTTCCTTGTCTTGACCCCATAACTCAGCCATTTGGTAGAAAAAGGGTTTCTGGAGGAGCATCCCCATGGCACATCTGGAGCCGTGCACCATGGTGGGTCCTTGGGTGCAGCCTGCCCTGTATGAGGTATACTGCTGTCCCATCAGGGGTGACACCAGACACCGTCCCCAGCTGGCCAAGTGGATGGAGGGCTTGGACATCTTGTTATCCCTTCCAAAGCTTATTTTTAACCCCCTGGCTCCAATTTAAAGGTATCAGCAGCATGTGCTGAGCACAGGCCCTCAAAATACTCCCTTCCTCCTCTTTCCCCTGGCTTTTGCTCCCATCATTTCTGCCTTCATCTCTCCTCTTCAGGTCTGCAGTGTGAAAATGAGTTGGAAAACCTGCTGCCATTAAAAGCTTCATGAGAGAGCTGGCCTTGTTCACCCTGGAGAAGAGAAGGCTTCAGGGAGTACCTTACAGCATCTCCAGGGCCTAAAGGGGTTACAAGAAACCTGGAGAGGGGCTTGGGACAAGGGCCTGTAGGGACAGGCCAAGGGGAATGGCTTTAACCTGCCAGAGGGGAGACTGAGATGAGCTCTGAGGCAGAAGCTCTTCCCTGTGAGGGTGCTGAGGCGCTGGCACAGGGTGCCCAGAGAAGCTGTGGCTGCCCCATCCCTGGCAGTGTTCAAGGCCAGGTTGGACACAGGGGCTTGGAGCAAGCTGCTCCAGTGGAAGGGGTCCCTGCCCATGGGTGAGCTTTGAGGTCCCTTCTAACCCAAACCATTCTGATGGATGAGGAGAGGATGCTCAGCCTCTTGGTGTGGGTGCAAAGTCTCTGCAAAGCCTCCAAAGCTGGTGTGGAAGGAGCTGAATGCCTAACAGCATTCCCCTGCTTCCATAAAGCTGCCCTTTAGAGGACCACTGCCCTACATGCCTCTGATCTGCTTTTCCAATGACTATGGCATGAGGAGCTGCATTTCCTCCTTTCAAGGAAAATACCTCTATTGTTTTGCATGGGAAGGAGGGGATAAAAATACCAATTTACAGCTATTCCTCTGTCCATCCCCACCTTATCCCCGGTGAGAGCAGGGCTTTGGGAGCAGCATCAAGGCAGGCATCCTTCGGGAAGTGTTCTTTGCCCAAACCCCCACCTCCAGAGCAGACCTGCTGCATTTTATAGTGACAAGCCACGAGTGCTTCAGCTGAACATGTTACTCGCGGGAGGAAACACCCCCGGTGTGAAGGCAAATCCAGGCAGACAGCCTGGGGTGTTCATATCCCAGATACATACAAATTACCGGCACTGCGGATTCCTCTCTCCCAGTCTCCCTGTGCAGGGCCTCTTTGGGGGGAAAAAATAGAAATCCCTATTATTATGGCTGGGAAAAGGGAATTTTTAGCTTGAAGCATCAGATCTTAACCTTGGGGCTGTGGGGCTGGATGGGGTTGAAGTGATGGTCAAAGGGGTATGAGGTACCTGCTCTGCGTGCATCCTGCCCATCTCTTTGGTGGGGGATTCTGTTTTCTTAAGTGACCTCAAACCATTTGATGATGGTTTTTGGAATGGGGGAATGAAGCCTAAATAGGATGCACAGGAATCGTTTCAGCTAGGACCTGAAGCCAGATGGATGAGGATGAGGCGCTAAAATTCAGCCGCCTTCAGATGCTGCCTGCTCAGGTCTCTTCTTTTACATAGCTGAACGTTTAAGGACAGATTCCCACTGTTTTCCAAGAGGAAAGATGGTTCCACTCGGGTGTGAAAATTGATCCTGATGGTCCATAGGGATCACATGCGTTTGGTGGGACCCTTTTCTCTGGGCACACCACTGTGGCTTTAAGCTTCTTGGAGGCTGGGAATAAAGTGGCTTAACAGAGCCAGGATTAGCCAGGTCTGTCAGCCCCCTCTGCTACTCGTGTCCATACTATTTATAGTCCCGTGGGCCATCGGGCTCTGTTTCGTTGTACAAGTAAAGCATGGTGCACTGCCTGTTTCTCTTATCCCTGCCTGGGAAAAGGGTGAGAGTTCACATTCCCTTTGCTGCAGAGAGGAGAGCTCCATCACATGCTCACATAGGTCAAACACGGAGGGATCTGGGATTTACTCCCTCTCCACTAAGGCTGAAGCCTTCATTAGCAAATGCAGCCCTGCTGAGGGCAGTTCCCAGGCTGCTTGTATAAAAATGGGACATTATTTCTTGGCAAAACACTGAAATATGGATAGAAAGAATAAGGGATTCCTATACCCATCCCTCCTCTGTGTTACCGCGCTTAGTGCCTGTCCCCAGCCCATCCAGACCTGGGGTAACACCACTGCTCCTACCCCAACACAAGGCTGGGTCAATCCCTTTAAATTCTTAAAAGCCTTCCTCTTGGAAGTTTGTTTTTCCTGGTACTCAGTGCATTCATGTTGCACAAGGAATGCTGCATAGAAGGAAAAGATATCTTCCCTAAGGTCTCCTTTTAAGTGTTAATGAGAGGTCAGGGGCATTTACATCATGGGTAAGTTTTTAACCCTTGGATTATGAAGGTAAGTCCCTTCATAAGAGCACCTAAGAGTACCTGATTGAGCTGTTGTATGCACTGGAAGGATGGTCTGGGCCATAAAATTACACAGCTTGATGCAGAATTGGCTTTCTCCTGACCTGTATTTTGGGACACAGAAGATCTTGCATTAGCCTTGTGATTGTGCAGCTGACACTGGGATAAATATCCTGACCACTACGTGTCATCTGGTTTTATGCAAAGAAAGTTTCATGGTATTACTGAAGGAGATTGCTTATGGTTTCCTGGTCCTCCAAGGGCTTGAAGCACATTAAATTAGATGCTGTTAATAAACCTTGAGCCTTGAGCAGTGAATGTATGTGTTGCAAGTGTGTTTGCCCTGAGCACCGTGCGGGGACCCCTCTTTTCCTCACAGTGCATGTGGGAAACCAGCCCTTTTGCACCATTGGTCCCAGGAGGGCAGAGCAAGGGCTGGATACTCGGTGGTCCTAGGCCTCCATCCAATCCCAGCCC